ATAATTGTAAAGAAAATTATAAAAGGGGGTTATCAATATTAAATATGGGATATGATGCTTGCTCTTAAAATTTTCTACATTAATTTTTGTACATTTTTAAAGCGGATTCGAGTCCACTGGAGTCCACGTCCACGTAGGGACGAACCGTCGAGCCGTCGATGAACGATACTTACCTCAGTGGCAAACTGCAAGTTATAAATTGTTGGTCGAAGAATCCAAGTGTCCAAGTGTTGCGTAATTAAAAGAAAAGCGACGAGTATGAATGTAATAATAAACACGTGCAAACAAACGACGAGGATAGCCGTGAATTTATTGAAGAACGGTACTAACCTTTCTTCAAGAAAGTATGCCGCTACTATAGCCGACTACAAAATTACTTGGGTACGACCAAAGAGAGTGTCGAATTTGTCATTTGAAAAGTCTGGCGATCAAGGGTTAAAAGTCGATGTCAAGTCATCTGATTTTGGCAAAATGTACAACGAGTTACCTGAACTGAAAGAGTAAGTATACTAATGGTAACTGGACAAACATATTTTTTACCTTTTATTTTTTTATTTTATCGAATTATTGAATATTTTTGTCAGTGCCAGTGACATGGTTAAGAAGATGTTCACCCTACAATTTCTACCTCGCAAAGAAACAACTCGTGCCAGAAAGGAGAAGGTTTTAGAATTGGTCAGAAGGCACAGATTAGATTGGAAATCGCCAGAAGCTCAGAGTAACGTAACACTCGGATATCGGATAAATCATAAATACCGTGGATTTTATAGACTGAAATATCATAGGCTGTGACTGTCGCGTGCTTTTGCTTTTCAGTTGCCACTATGACCAGTGACATACATCAGTTGCAGCAACATTTAACGGAATATCCCAAACATACGAAAATGAAAGTTAAATTGTTAGAAACGATCGCGAAGCGAAGGAAAATGCTGAAATTCTTGCGACAATGGGATTACAGACGTTTCGAATGGGTCTTGGAGAAACTCAATCTTATTTACAAACCGACGCCCGAGTGAGAGTTTTTACTTTTTACTTTTTACTTTTTACTTTTTTTTTATGTTATAAATTATACATAATAATTTTTCGGCAAAACGTCTTACAGGTTTCCACATCAGATCACTAGAAAAGATTCCTTAAGACGATTAACGGAAAAGCATTGCGACAAACTCGTGCAAGAAAAGTTGGATGCTTACAAAAGAGAACTGAAAGTACTGCAAAAGGATTTTTACACGGAAAAGGCAGAGAAGCTTGCGTTTATCAGAAAGGAAGAACTAGCGTGTGGGTTACAACCGTCTGTGAGCGAAGAGGATATTGCATGCGCCAAGTTGAAAGCAAGGGAATATCAAACGTAATATATCGATGTGTTACGTGTAGTTTAGAGACAATAACAACGTCGTCAATGTCGTTACATTATATAATTCCTTATGCTTTACTTTGTCCACGTCTATTTGTAATACATCCGCATTTGTGATACATTTGCATTATTTGAAATTAGCCGGGCCCGGGGGAAAAAAAGAAAGAGAAGATCACGCACGTTACCTATGGAGCGAGCCGTTTGACCAATCTTCTACCATCTGTCGATCTATGATCACCTACGATCGATACATATATATATCGACATGGTTCCCCGAGCCTGCGAGAGTAGTTGACAGTTTCGTTAGTTTGATAACCGTACGTAGATCTCGCTTCGATCGTTGGCTGGTTGGGTTGGACGACTATTTTTTCGCGATAACATATACATATGTAAGAATGTAAGCAAAGTGAAAGTATCCATTTGTGTATGTACATACATACATACATAACTATAATCAGTATAATCTATACGTGATCATCACGTGGAAAAATTATCGCTTATATGGTATGTATGTACATACATACGTTTTTGACGGCCAATACAAAAAGAAACTAAGATTAAATAAAAACGTTACACAGTCGCATCCACAGTCTACAGTCTTTTATAATAGAGGAAAACACTCGCGATCGAGTTCTCTCACGATTTATGTTTTATGTAGTACATAACAGCATAACACGTGTCGCAAATCGCAAGTGCTTGCAAAGATCTGTGCCGTGTGTAACGAATATAATAAACAAACAACGGATTCATTGAAAGACTGCAGCTGATTGCTGAGTTTGACATTCGCAAAGTCCAAAAGTGGAAGCTCGAATCTTTCGATACGCATGGATGCACGAGTAATTATCGTTATAATTATCGAGCAGCCATAACGTGCGTATAATATAGTATAATATTTTTGGATATATACCCCAATAGAGCGTGTAAAAACGCGTGCGAGCGAGGAGTGCGGCGAGTGGCGAGGAAGCTTTCAAGTTTGAAATTTTTTTCAGACGTCTGTAACAGAAACAAAATCCATTGTCACTATTTAATATCATTCCTGTGCATTTATAGATATCATCCCTTTAGATTTTAGGTGAAACTTGTGAAAGCGTCGAGAATATGTGACATTGACAGGATTCAGGATTACGTGCGATTATGTAAGTTCGATCGCTCGTCCGATGGAAAAAGAACCACCCGCAGGTACCGCGTCCACGGTCCACGTATGTACGGACGTCGGACGGTATTGTACGATAAATTTCATCAAACATACAAAGAACGGGCATGACGAACCGTGTAAGCCGTAACAAGGTGTGTTTGTGTTAAATTATTTAATAAACAAGTAATTGCGCACACATTTTCCAATCCTTTTCCATCCATAAATTTCAAGATTACATATAAATAGATTGTTTATGTATTGCCATGTTTACTCTGGAACCTTTTTCACTTATTTATAACGTGAATGATTGATTGATTGATTTCTTTAGACTGGATATTTTTGCAAGCAGTGCTACAAAAATAAAAAGTAGTTTTTAGTTAAACTAGATTAGATTCGATTAAATACATTTCAGTTATATAATTAATTTATTAACTGTAAACGTGATGAAAGATATATGCACATATAATAGAAACATTATTATTATTTATGTTGAACTGTGTTAAATGACAAAAAACAACGTCAAGTACTTAACAATAGTTGACATGAACGCGGTAGCAATTATTGCAATATGCACAATATTCATTTATTTGTTACATTTTTAAAATCAAGGTCTTCAAAACCATATGTGTTAATTTTTTGTGTCGTCCTAAAACGTGTACCCAAACTGAATCGTATATATAGTAACTATAATAGTAAGAATAAAATTTCAAACAAAACACAAATTTTTGATATTTCTAACGAAACAAACATGAATGTTTGATGATCCATAGAGATTGTGTAAGCATAATTTACATTGTATACATGCAGATTATTATATTTCAGGCATAAATGCTCAACCCTAGGAAGAACGACTGAACGACGGCGACGACGTATGGAAAATGATAACGGCAAAGACGTGGTCGATGATTGAACATCATCTTAACTCGATGTTCCCCAGTTCCCATGTTCGCGAGTTTACAACGGCCTACCAGCGACCCAGCCAGTACATACAGGGCTACAGGGGGATACAGGATACAGCATGCCGTACGCCGTACGCCGTACTGCGCAATCCCATAGTGGCGGCAGTGGCGGTACGCGGTACGCGGTACGCGGTACGCGCGGCCCAATAGGCCAGCAAAAATGCAAGTGAATGTTCGCGGTATATATATAGATATATAAATGGATATAAAGAAGAGTCGCATCGCGCATAGGATCGTCGCATGCCGCAACTTTCGTAATCCGACAGCCGGGATCATCTTACAACTTTCGTGCAACGTCCGCGTGATATCCGTGTGTTCGCGGGAACGAGACGAGGCGAGACGACACGACGGCGACGGTTTAGAATTAAAAAGCGATCGATAATACTTTTTTCAATCGAACCGCGCCGCGCCAAGCCAAGCCAAGCCAAGCCAAGCCGCTCATCCGAATCTGTGCACGTGTACGCACGCGTATGTACGAAAACGCGCGCCGCGCCGGCGAGACAGAAAACAGAAAACTCCTCGTGTTCTCGGTAATTCGTCCGTGCGGATCACCACAATGCTTCTTTCTACGCGGAAACGTAATTTTGAAGAAACCTGCATCCGTAGTACGGTCAGTATTGCAACGTGTAATATTCCAAAATTAATGTTACATATATCACTGCAGTTCTTTAATATGATTTAATAATACGTGACATTATTAAATATATATTTTAGTCTCGCACATAAATAAGGTATCTCGTATATAACTAATCGCATATTTATCACCAATGTTATTTGCATTATGAAAATCAGCGTGTGAATAATATAGCGTCGTGGAAGTATATTCCGTTTGCTAAATCAATGAAACGATTGGATCTTAAAGAATTGTTAAAGACGTGTGTGTCATCGTTATATTATTATCTTAATTTAGGTGCAACCCGATGAATATTATAGATTGTACAATTTTGGGAGGGGAATCGATTAACGAATGCCGCCTTGGATTTTCCTCCTTCCTCGTTTCCAGCTAGATTCACAGGCTCGTCCGCTCACACACAGATCCATATTCAATCACAGATTGTTAGCGATCACGAAACATGTGGGAGCAGACATGTGAGAGCCGAGAGATGAGAGATCGCCAGATATCTTTACGTATTCTTGAAACGATACAACGAGTAGCATAGTACAACGATAGATGGTAGACGATGAAAAAGAATTATCGCGACGTGGAAGGACTCCAACGCGTGCGTTGGATCATCGGATTGTGCGGATTAGATGCTTTAATTTCCGAGAGGAGAGGAGAGGAGAGTCGCAAAAGAGGCACGGTGGAGTGTCCACGACTAATACAGTGTAAAGTCATAACTGTATCCCAATTACCGCCAGTAAACTTTATATATATAGCGTGCGCGCGCATTAATTATACACATATCAAAACATAAGATAGAATCTTTCTCGACTTCTTTCGTCTGACGCAAATACATGTATTGTATCACTTAAGCGGGGCGCACACACTTTTGCACAACGCATAATGCGTAAGCATAAGGAAATAGACCAATCAATTTTCTTATGCTTACGCATTATGCGTTATGCAGAAGTGTGTGCCATGCTCCCCGCTTTACGGTGCGGCGCGGCGCATTGCGCATATACATATGTACGGCGCGCGATCGCGTTTGTATCTGTTTGAAAAATTGTCACGGCCGTCTTCTCTCATTCCCAGATATTTCTTCTCTACGCCTCGTTCAGCTTTAGTCGAGCAAATCTTCCTCGAGGGTAAGTGCACGCGCGATGCATTCTTGTAAAAAGTTAATTATAGATATAGATTCGAGCGTATCTAGAAATGTGAATTTACTGAAAAAGCGAACGGAAGAAATTGCAAAGAGTTATAAGTCTGTGCCTGTGCTCTCGCGACAGATATTCCTCTGGACCATTCGGAAACTCGAGGCAGAGGCACGCCTTCTCGTGCGCACCTCTCGATTCGGCGTCCGCGTCGCAGAGTGCCCTCGACCCCCTCGGGCCAGCTCAGCCAGCTGTCGCTTGCGCGTTGAAACCCGTATCGCGCGCGGCCGATGCCGAGATTATCAACCTGCAGCCGGGATCGGCGAGACTACCTACCTACGTTAAAGTGTCAGCGCCTTTGTTGTACAAGCCTTTACCGAGGACGTCTTCCTTGGTGTACGTTGCACCGCCCATTGTCAAATCCGCGTCAGCTATCGTGGCTACGGAACCGAAGACGCTGGAAAAAGATGCTCGATACATGGTAAATTAAATAACCGATTCAAACTTGGCGACTGCTCACACCGCAACCATATATTTTCATATTGGTTTGAGAAGCTTACTATATTTACTAATTACTGCGTGAGTGTTAAATATTTCCGAATAAAAGAGAGACTTTCGCGGACCTTTGGACCTTTTCATTTTTTATACTTGCAAATTTTGCTCTTTCGAAGACGTCTCTTTTACTTACAAGATTTCTCTTATTTTTATCTCAGGCATATCCCAAGTATTCCTTCAATTATGGCGTGATCGATGGATATACTGGCGACTCTAAATCAGCGTGGGAAGAGCGAGACGGAGATACGGTTAAAGGCGAATATTCGGTGGTCGAAGCGGATGGAACTATCCGTACCGTTTCTTACACGGCGGACGATCGTAATGGCTTCAATGCGGTTGTGACTAGAAGCGAGCCTCCAAAGAATACGAAATCTGCAGTTGAAGTAAAAACATTCGTACCTGTTGCCATATTTGCTAGGGACAGACGTAAAATTTAATGTCAGCGCAATCCTCACGTGCTTTTCCTTACATGCAAAATATTACGCATGTCTTGATTCCGTTTGCTATTTTCAATGCAAGATACATCGATAGTTCTTTTGTGTTCTGCGTTCTGCATATGCTTGAGAGAATACGCGTATCTCTCTTTTTCTCTGCTTTATTTCATTTTTAAGTGACACACTTGTACGCAATGTATCACACCCACGTTACATTATATATATCGCGCGTCTCATGTCTGAGATTGAGCTTTATTATTAGTCTATTATTAGGGTTGCTACCTCTCCGGGCCGGCTTTGACTCGGAGACTCCATCTGGTTTCGGAAGGCTTGTGTTCGGATTCCGGCTTGTGTGAAATGTAAAACAACTTACCTGATTTTTAATTAAAAAAAAAAAGGAAAATAAAATGGACAATTCCCTGAATGGCGAGTGAATGGCGTTGGGAAAAGAAAAACTGAGAAGGATCAAATTAGGATAAATGGGTTTCGAGCTCGATGTGTATCTTACAAGACTGCGTTCAGTATGGAGACAGTAACTCAGTGAGCGCTTTACGGATTATTGTCTGTGACTAGGATATTATTCTTCTAGATTCTTTTTGATGGATCCAGGGGAGTATATAACATTCAAGGGCGTTTTTAATAATTATGATTTAATCATTATTTATACAATTTATATATTTTTTGTTTGTTAACTACCAGAATTTTATTTTATTTTTTGATTACTTATTGTTAGTCATTTTTTATCTTATGCCATTTTGACTTTTGTTTTGTTTTGACAATTTTTATAATAAAACACTTGGGTGATATACATTAACTTATTTTCTTTGTCTTTGGGTCAAAACGATAGTTTAGGTGGCAACCCTATTTATTACATACATATGTATGTATACAGCTAGGGTATAGGGTACAGTGTGTATACAGGGTGATTCAAAAGGTTATCCTTAACAAAACCTTAATAAAAACAAAATAAAACTAGTGGAAGAGTAGTAAATTGCGATTATTTCATTGGTATATTGTCTGAGTTCCAAATATTCAAAGGCCTGTACTGATGATCAAGATTACTTTGGAGAACATGGGTTCTTAATCGAAAGTTGTTCTATTTTGACCCTTCTATTATATGCTCCTTAAGTTTGGCAGTAACCTTTTGAATCATCCTGTGGAACACACACACATCTATGAATAAAGTTGTTTATACATACATTGAATATAAAAAAGTTCTTTTTACATTTTGTGGTATAATTTTTTTACCTCTTTGTAGACCGTTTAATGCATATACTTACAATATTCGAAGAACGTTTCTGCCAAGTGCATTTATCTTACCTCCGTACGTAATTTGATACCTTTTGTTGGTGTAAAATAAATAAAATAAATTAAGTTCTTGGATATTATATATAAACACGATATAAAGAAAATCTAGTTTTATTATTCTTAAAGTATAAAGTGTATGTAAGATTACGAGTTAACATTTAAATTCGGACCTCTCATTGCAGTAATTCAAAATTAAATCTTTAGAGCTTAAAGATCGAGAGATACGACATTCTTATCTATTTTATTATTTATTTTTCTCCATGTTATTTTTATCCTTGTTATTTATTTTTCGTTTATGTAGTCGTAAATTATATAAAATCGTGATTACCATACGTGGTAATTTTATCATTTGGCAATTCGGTATATCAATTAGCATTATAATACAAATTAAATTAAAACTTTGAGTCGGTACATATTTTGTTAAATAAATTATTTTTATTAAAAAATTGTATGTGTGTGTGTGTGTGTGTGTGTGTGTATGTAGAATTACATACAATTTGCAATGTTAATTACTTCGGTCAGACACACACATATACACATTTGCACACGCGTGCACGTACACATGCAACGCATAGGAGTCATATATTATTTTAAGGTTATTAACTTGCACGCGTGCGTGTGTATCTCGTGAATATATCTTGTACTTTAATACTTTTTTTTCATAAAATTTAAAAATAGCTTCTAAAAAGCTTTAATACTGCAAGAAACGTTATAAATACGAAATGTACTTTTACATAATTGTGGAATGTGTGCTAGCTATGCTTGTAGTATATATACTATATATATACTATATAACTTGAAGGGGCGATATTCTTTGGCTGATTTTAAGAATACAAGGTCCTATAAACATGTGTCCTAAACTGCTTCGTTTTCAAAATACAGTCAAAATTGTGGAAGAAAAATGAAAATTTCGAAAATCTGGAAAGCGGTTAAAGATATTTTATTCAAATTTGGTATGCGTACATACGTGTGTGGTATTAAGAATCATTTTCTAGTACCGATAAAACATTTTTAGATCCACCAGGAGCATCTTTGATGTACCACCTGGTACATCTTTGATACCCTGCATGTATTTTGAAAACGAACCAGTTTAGGACACATGTTTATAGAACATTTTTTCTTAAAATAAGCCAAGGAATGTCTCTCCTTCAAGTTTATCTACTTACTTAGGAAACACCCTATTTATAGCAAAACAAGCATATAGCTGCACGATACAAAAAAATACAATAAAACTAAATTTTTTTGTTGTTTAGCTTAGGAGACAAAATGTGTTAATTTAATCATATAGTTTTATATTAAAATGGAAATATTTTTTGTTTCCGTTATGCAAAAAATGGATATCTATGCCTAATGATAGTATCTCAGGCCTTGTGCAACAAACATCAAATACGATGTGAAGATTACAAGTGAAAAAGAATTCATAAATGACAAACATAATGTCTATATCGGTTAATAAAAGAAAGAAAGGAAGAAACATAGAATTAACACGTGTCTCATTAACGCACATGTTATTAGAATTTCCACCTATTTCTACCTATTCCTAGCTCTTTTATTGCTATTCTTTTTCGCGCTATTTCCAGATTTATTTTTGGAGTCTTTACTATTACTGTGACATTCTTTGATAGGTGTGGCAATATGTTCTAAATTTCCATTGGACATCGATCCATTTGTAAATTGAATCGAAGCATTGTCCGAGCTATTGAGAGCGCCACTATTTTGGACATGTCCGGTTTGAATAGAAGTATGATTTTTTCCACTAGCTTCTTTGTTATTGCTGGAAGGAATCGCATTTGAATTGCCAAAGTTGCAATTGTCCTCGCTGCCGCTATTCCCAATCTGAGACTCTGATTCGCTGTATCGTTCAACTGGAAGCAGGGATCTCATATTAACGGTATAAAATGTATACAAATGGAGAGAAAGCAAGCAGATAGGAAGATATAGATATCGATCGCAGATCGCAGATGGAGATACGCAGGTGCATAAGCGAGTGTTACAAATACAATCTTTTCATGTACTGTTCTCACGCACGGCGCATCATATCTTTCGCATTATTAGATAAACATTTGTGTGATAAAAATATTATTCATTTTCATTATAATTAACTAATTAATCAGTTGGTATGCTACACTTGCCATATTTGCAAGATACTAATCGACATTCCTTTAAAGCATACCGTTATTTATACCTCGAGACACATGCATAGAGATCAAGAGGAAAACGAAAAAATAATAATAAAAGAAGAAGAAAGAAGACCCACCATCATAATTTATCATAAAATATAATTTATATAATACTATAATATATAATAAGCACACAGATGTCTCGCGACTAATTCTATTCGAATATGGAAAAACTTTAATAATCACTCGAGCATCATTGTCACACGTAAAATCAGTCCGCATTAATGGGCGATACCTGACATTTTCATGAATAAAAATAAACGCATTTTAATGCAGCACGTTTCTACGTATATTGAACAATGTTAGTTTTATCATGAATATTAATTTTCCCGTAACTTAGATGCGAACTCTAGCAATCTTGTGTCTTCTTTCAGACGTGAAGCAATCCAAACAAGAAAATCAGTGTGCAGATATATTCTATTTATAAGACAGTAATACAATAACGTAATGTCAGGGAATAATTCCAATTAAATGAAAACAGTTACTAAACATATTTGTAAAAATTAAAATGCTATTATTTCTACAGAAAAGAAAATACGAAAGAAAAGTGTACAAAATATAGATAGAGATCCAAATAAGGATAGTATTTTTATAAACAAATAAATATATAATCACGAATATCCATTGAGGTCCTTACTTTTTTCTTGTGTATTCTCAACGAGTCCGCTAACCGCCTATAATAGAAAGTAATGCAGATTAATCTAACGACAATGTATCATTCTGACCAGATTAATAATATATTACACGTATGGAACATATTGAGAGTGTGCGAAAGAAAGTACACGTCAAGTTTAGTTTTATAAATAGTATCTACTTGTATCACTTGTATATAATGAATGAAACGCACATCACGAGAAAGATGTGGTTAAATAGATGCATGTAACTACTTACTGCCATGGATGTAATGGACGATTTAGAAAATAATCTCTCTGCCTCTTTAAATTTCCTGTTACGCTTATCAGCTTTACTGTTGGTATTTTTGTTACTCGCTAAATATCTATCCCAACCTCTTATTATATTTCCATACAATTGAGTGTCCTCTAAATAGCTTCCCTCGAAGGCATATATTTGACGTTCCAAGTTGGCTAACGTCTCCTGCAAAAATTTATCTTTGTAAAAATTTGACGGTATACAAAATATCGATCGTTATACAAATTATTAATGATTGCTCCCAACAACTACTGCTATCTTATGACACGACAAAAGTATCAAACAGTTGTCCGAATTTTCTCCTTGAGATCAATTGTACTCGAGCTTTCTTTCAAACACCACACACACCCACACACACTTAATAACCTACGTACACGCACGCACGCAATCCATTGTTCATTATTTATATTTCAAGTAAAACGATAATTAAAACGTGTCGAGAATTTTGCATCTTATATGCGTAAGTGCGTAACGATATTTCATGCTGCATGCTGCATGCATAAAAATTGACATAACATGGTACTCACAGCAATCTCGGCTTTGCGTTTCACTAATTCCGCCAATTCCGATCGCAAATCCACTGGAGATTTCGTGGACATCTTTCAAGTTCGTGGAAAATCGTTTAAACGACTATAACATTAATAAAATTAAGAAAACAAAATCGATATGCCACAACGGTCCAAAGTAACCAGGTATGTACACACAATATATATATAATATATATGTGTATGTATACAACATAACAGTTTACTCAGTATTGCCAATGGCCGCGTTCAGCAGCAGAACAAACCGCTCACAGTAGCAATCGAACGTGATTGGCTCTTAAGCCTTGTGTCCACGATGCTAGAAATCGCTCCGAGATCTCGGACAGAGAAAGAATTAACCAATCGCATCGTCAATTGGTGAATTGTTGAAATATGATTGGTCAATTTTTTCTCCATCCAAGATCCGTAACGCGTAACCGCGTAACCAATCAGAAGCGCGAATATGCATAACCGAAAATGCGAAACGTTTCTAGTTGGTTACGCGGTTACGCGTTACGCGGAAAAAACATGCCATGGGACTCCAGCCTTTATGCTAAGACTCCATAGACGCGAAAACGCCATGCGGCAGAGTGCGTTGACCAATCACAAATTTTGATTTTGCCGCAGGCGACTTGCGGCAGCCTTCTGATTGGTCAACGCACTCTACCGCACGGCGTTTCCGCGTCTATGGAGTCTTAGCATTAGCATTACTTATGGCTCCTGCCCACAGAACGCGAAAACGCTTGCCGCACAGCAAGAAGCGACGCGGTAGCCAATAAACTTTTGGTTCTTACGGAAAAGCGACACGTTATTGGCTACCGCGTTGCTTCTTGCCGCGCGGCAAGCGTTTCCGCGTCCTGTGGGCAGAAGCCATTAAGGCTGAGTTTCCACTGAGCGCATCACGCGTCGCGTCATCACAAATTAACCAATCAAAACATCCCATTTTATTACATTACTTGTAACGGGATCAAATTGGGATGTTTTGATTGGTTAACTTGTGATGACGCGACGCGTGACGCGCTCAGTGGAAACTCAGCCTAAAGGCTCCCACAGACCGAACGCGTCAAGCGTCAAGCAGCGAGCAGCAACCCAATTGAACCCAATCAGTGAGGTGATATCAGCAGTGGCGTAGAAAATATCGTCTCGCTAATTGGTTACTGCTCGCTGCTTGACGCTTGACGCGTTCGGTCTGTGGGAGCCTTAAGACGACAGTCAATGGCCGCGTTCAGTAGACAAAACTGTTGAGTGTCGTCTTATCGATATGCTACGCTGATTTGTTGGGTCTAAAAGTAAGAGCCACGCACGTGCTACTGAGCGGTTTTGTTGAACGCGCCCAATAATTATGTCAAAATGACCAATCACATTTTATCATTAAGCAGATTAGCAAAGGCGATTGGTCATTTCACTCATTTTCAATGGACTAATCAACGATGTTAATCAGAGCTTGGTCGAAGTGGCTCTAAAATTGACATTACAATTGTTTCTTTATATCAGCTGTTTAAGGGTTGGTTTATAATAGCTGTAACCGTTGATTTAAGCCGTAATTTTTAAGAAGTTGACCAGTCACAGTCGATTATTCTTCTCACATTCGACTGTGATTGGTCAATTTCTTGAAGATTACGGCTTAAATCAACGGTTACGGCTATTATAAACCAACCCTAAGAGGGAAACAGGATTTTAGATGCAAGGTATAACAAGAAATATAAGGAGCTAAGTATAGATTTGGAAGGCCCAAGTTACTTAAAGTTGGATAATTTAGACAGGCAGGGTCTCGGGGATAGTATCAGAGCGTTGTTAAATTTAAGATGCGGGAACTTAGAATCAGGTAACAGATATTGGCTAGATGAAGAGAAACAAATGTGTATTTTTTGTAATGAAGGCAAAGATAATATGAACCACTATGTTGAAGATTGCGTTAAGACAAAGGAATGGTTTACAGTATTAGGAAAGGGTAGTAAAGAAAGGTTGGAAAAACTTTGGAATGATAAATTGGACACCACCAAAGCGAAGGTATTGTTGAAAGTCGTTAGGGAAAGGAATGCAAAAGAAAAAGAAGATAGATATAGAATGTCATTAGGCTGTGAGATAGGCTGTGAGGATAGGAGATAGTGCAATAAGATATAATGGTATAATTTATAATAGGATTTTGGATATTTGTGTATGCGTGGATTGATTGCAAGTATGAGTGATTAAGGATTGATGTAAACCAAGTCCACTTTCTGGCTGTATTGCTAAAGTTAATAAACATATATATATATATATATATCAGCTGTTTAATTTGGTCGATTTTGGTTGGTTAGCCAACTGTGGATATTTAATTACCGTTATACTTGTAACGTATACATATACCGTTGCGAATGTCATTAAACGGTGGGCCTTGGCACATAGAAAAACTTAAGCAGTAAGAAATCAACGGTATGGATTCGCTACCGCTTAGGGCCGTGCTTAAGTTCTTGGCTGTGATTGGCTGCGTTTTGCCGAACCTCTGCTTAGCTAAGCGAAAGGTAGCAATTTGGAAAAAACCATTTGTAGCCGTGGTTTTTCCCAAACTTTAGCCAAATTAATTAACGAATCTCATTAAACTTATGCTCGTTTTAATCAGTAGGATCAGCCGCAACCCGGTACAGAGTCGGATTTTCCATTTTGGCTCTTAAAAATTTTTAATAAATAATATACGGACTCGCAGCGAGTCGCAGCTAAGACAACCCGACAGAGGTCTTCACCGTGTCTCCTGCCGACCCTTAAGTGTAATTGGTTGGATCCAAAGGTAAGAACCAATCACATTCAATTGCTACCTTTCGGTTCGCTAAGCAGAGGTTTGGCTGGACACGGCCATTGGCTGATTTGCTTACTGCTTGGGTTTGTTTTTCTATGCGCCAAGGCCACGTTACTACATTCTACGTTCTACATAGTGTACATATGTACATACATACATATCAAGGAGAGAGGAATAGGGGAGGGGGGGGGGAGAGAGAGAGAGAGAGAGAGAGAGAGAGAGAGAGAGAGAGAGAGAGAATCTATTTTGCTTTTCATCGAAGCGATAAGTTAATTAGAGCATATGTATGAGATAATTTAATCTGAACGTTACGCGCACACATTTTATGAAAAAATTTCTTCGATGCAGAGGCAATTTGTACAATGTATTTAAATTTCTGTTGCTTTTAACGCATAATAGCGTACAAATATATGTATAATTGACGGCAGGAAATAGGCAGCTCTTTTTTTCTTATATAAAATTGACTTTTTATATATCTTGCAGGATTTCGAAATTTTCGAGACGTAGCGCGAGAATTGGCGAGAATTAAATGTAATATAACCTCAATTTCCTTAACAGGATATACAGTAATAACGGAATAGCGAGCGATGTAATTAAATGTATGGAGACAGAATGGGAGACGAACAATTCCGTTACACCCAGGAGAGAATTGTAAAGGTTTTCTTTTATATATTTAAAAGCAATTGCATTTCATCCAATTTTGACACGTTCATATGCATCACTTGATCACTACCGTGTATTAATGTAGTACAGTACAGTACGCTATTGACATCACTGACATCAGATAATATATTGATTGGATAGAAAAACTTTTGTATGTAAAAAGATTGCCCATGTGGACCAAAATATGGATCGCTTTAAATGTGTATCTTTATAAAGTTGAGATATAAAAGTGTAAACACACACACACTAATGATAATCGTACATATAAACTATAATTAAGCTATACTGATGATCATTAAAAGTTACAACGTGTGCAAATTCACAAATATGTGCCAAGTGTGGTCTACAATACAATATAAAATTATATATATATATATATATATATATATATATATATATATATATATATATATAAACATGAGATTTTACGTTGTCAAACATTAATTTCTTTTCGTAGTTCTATATGAGCATCATATTTTTTGCAATTATATAGGTCACCGGATCACACCCGTAGCAGTAGCAGTAGCAGTTTTAACCGCGCATCAACGACTGCATTCCCAAGCGAGTCCGGTACGAGGGATATATGGAGAGAAACGTTGCGAGAGCGTGACCAAATTAAGTACGCGTTCGATCAAATCGATTCGTAGTCTCGCGAGCGAGAATACATTTGCAAGAAGGCTTTTGTAAAAAATAAAGATTCTATTTTTGGTGTAAGTATGTGTGTGCGAGCGGCGTGCAGCCGTGCACTGCGTGCGCGCTCGTGCATATATAGCTTAGAAAATCTTTTGTTAACAAATATGACGATAACAGTTCTTTTCTTTTTCCCCGTAATGTTTGCCATTAAATTTAACTTGCATTTAAATCTTGAACCATCTAATCTAAGAATTTAAGTTTCCTTCGATGTCGTCAGTATATATTATAAATTTAATGTTTACTGCGCAATAGTTCTTTTATTTTATTTAATAACATGCCATAAAAAACTTTTTGGCAATAGTATAGTGTATAGTTTAATCTGCATAAATATTATACTAAGAGAAAATCCAAGTTTTCTTGGCGAGAAAAATATTTTATGTACTTATTAATACAGAAATATATCAAATGTGTTAATAAAACTGTCATTAGGAGAGTCTGGATCGAGTGGATAATTTTTTTTTCTCAACCTTACCGATATCGGCAACGATATCTCGAAGCAACTGCTGTGGATTGACGAGAGGTAGGACGGTAGGAGGCCAGTTTTAGTCTTGGATAATACATTCGCCGGTTCGGAGTATAAATGAAGGACAATGACCTAATTGTGTGCAGAACGTTGTTGTGCTTCCTCGATAGTCAATCACCGTGTGCGCAATTCATATTTGATTATTTATAAGTGTCGAACTACTATGTTAAATTAACAATTGTTTCCTTATCGAGATACTTTAATTGTTTAATTTAAAAAATTAAAAAAAAAAGAGAAGAAAAAAAGTCAGACAATTTCTTATAACGGGAACGACATCGACATAGTTTTGCATATTGCAGCCGACAAGAGTGTAAGTTATTATGAAGGTAAGATACACAACATATTGTGCAAAAATTAGATCGTGTTTATATCGAAAGTACTTGGATGAACTGTTACGTGATTTCTTCATCAGAGCGTTACAAAAGATATTTAATTATAAAAGATTCACACAATTATACCCCTCTATTATGATATATGTTATTGTATAACATTAATTTGCCTTAATTATACGAAAGATCGAGCTTAATCTAAATCGTTGTGGCGACGATGCGGTAACGCTATAAGTGCGATACGCTATATTGACGACGCGTAAGCTAATCGTGATAAATTTTACATAAGAAATTACAATTTGCCACTGATATTGAAATATTGTCTATAAATTCCCGCCTTCTCTAATCTAGGATTCATTAATAGGAGTTTGTAACAACTAGCTACCAATATACATATATTCAGTGATTTATATATTTCCGAATATATAGGTAGATATTTAATAGTAATATTGAAAAATTTCAAGTCAAGGCGAGGTTTTGTGTCTTACAACCAGAAATCTTACGTCTCAATCGATTCACGATCGAGAGCGCGCGGCGCGGCGCGGCTCGAAGAAGGATTCGACTTTTGTCGAATGCAAATTGATGCAATAGTTTAGATTAATAGCCAATGGTCAATATGATATTAAGTATCGCAGTTGGACCGTTCAACGACTGTCGATTATTTTACATTTTCTTCTCGCTCTTCAAGCTGCAGTTATATACTACTCGCTTTTCCCCTCTCGCGCGAGCCCCCAATGTGGCACAACGTCCCACATTTAGAGAGCACTAACGATTCGTGGGGCAATTTTCTCTTTTACGGGTTTTACGGGTACGCGATGACACGTAATCCAAAGAGTCATAGCCTGTGGCGATAACTGTTAAGTAAATGTTAAGTGAAGATCGTTTCGTTTTCACTTATTGCATTTTGAAAATAATATAGGGAGCAATCTCTCTTACTTACAATCAGTTCAATCCCGTTGAAATTTTTCGGAGGAAGCGAAATAGACCGATAGAGAATCGATTCGCGATACGCTGTATAAACCAAATTGTAGACAACTAGTTGGATTTGTTGGCTCCTCGCCGTGTGTATCTGCCTTTCCGAAGGGAAGAATAAGATTAGAAGACCGTTCGCACCACCGCCACCGTACGTTCCTATGCTGATATTAAAGGAGCCCCGGCCCATCAATCAAAGAATATCTATGGGAAATACCATTCATATCGGTGCTGGTCTGTCTTCTCAGCCGCGAATACCTTACAAGCACGCCAATTACCGGTAAGACAAGTTTTAAACGTTAAGTGTTTATACATACGCATTTTTATTCTCTATTTCCATTCCGCTGATTCTGCCTCACTCGACAATTTCATTCTCAATTTTAGAATTCGCCGGCCGGTATACAATGTTTTGTCGACTAGCTGGAAGAATCAAATTCCAATGCGAGCAGTATCCCTGAACAACCGCCCAATTATGCCACAACGTGCTCCCACCAAAGAATTTTACTCTATAAACAAGGTACCGGAATACAGTCCGGAATACAGACCGGAGCTAGTAGCCCTGCCACCTACTCATCGGGGAGGTGTCGACGACGACAAAGGACCTATCCACACAATTCCGGCACCAAATTTGAGCCCATCGGCGGCGAAGCCCCCGATACGATACAATACGGCCACCAACTTGGAAGATATCGCCGATCACCAACCGTACTCGAGCGATCTCAATTATCATACTCCCGCACAAAGTAAGTAAAAATTTTCATTGCAAATTCTCGTTACATTTCGAGCATTACATGGGTGGGATTGTGGGACATGTCAAGATTCAGACGGTGATGTTACTCTCTCTGTGTCTGTGTGGATATTACTTTTGTACAGATTCTAGAAGAACCACTTTTGGATTAGCCACGATTAGCAGCAGTTTATCGTCGCAGGGAACAGCGACGAGCTCGAGCTCGAGCTCGATTCCGCCCCAACCGGGGATTCCCCCCAATCAATACCAAGTTACGGAAAGCAACGACGTGACTTTGAAGGAGCACGTAACCGTCCAGCCGGCCATCCTTCAACCACAGGATTTGGATATAACGAGGCTATACTCGATTATAATTAATAATCCTCAGCCGCAATCCAACGAGTTTTTTGCAAATCACCCGTTTAACTCATTGTCAGATACGAGTGTTATAGGTTCGAATGTACAATTTGGCCAGTCAAGCACGCCAATGCAAACGAATCTTCATAGCTCTCTAAACGTCGGATTTCCTTCCACCGCCATCCCGCAGGCACCATACGCATACACCATAGCGCGGCAGGACCTACCAGCCGCGGACCTTCACGTAGGCCATCCGGCTCCAGCAGGACCGCCGTTGTCAGCTTCACAACTCTACAATCTGTTGAATAATTTTCCACACAAACTCGCAGAACGATATACAACAGGTAGAGCGCATCTGTAATACAAAATAGAGTTAACATAGAGTAGATTTAGACCGATTTAGGAGGAAATCGCGCGATGAAATTGCGGACGCGGGTGAATGAAATGAGAGTGTATAGAGCCTATTATTCGCACTGTATAACTTTTGAATATTTTGAACTTTCTTCACGTTGCTCTCTGCAATTCTTTCGAAAAATCGAGATTAGCTCTTCACAATTCGGACAATAATTCAACTTGATATATTTATTGAGACAAGCTTTCGCGCTCGACTGAAAAGAGAGAAAAGATCAATTTATTATTCTCGATTCTAATAATTTGTGTGAAAAATCGCACGTTCCTCCTCCTCGGTAAATTCTTCGGCACGATAGAGTGCCGTTGCTAAAATATATATATATATATATATATATATATATATATAAGTTATATCTTCTTCCTTTGATTCTTATGATTATTAGATGAGCAACACGTCCTTCATCAACAACAAATCGACCAAGCACTTGAATCGGAACAACTTGCGGCAACGAGCTTTTCTCAACCGCAAATGCATTCTTTCAATTATGACGAACAGACTAATCAGCTGCAACAGCGGCGACAGCAGCAAATTTTACCCGACCAAGATTACGCCTCCGAAAGTGTCACGGCAGATTATAATCTCGATCCCGAATCTTCGGTAGACATACGTAAACAAAATGACAATGTGCACTCTGGCGAAGAAGTTACATATCATCCCTTAGGTGGAGCGGAACAGTCTGAAAACAATATTGAATACGGAGAGATGATCCATCAGAGAAATCCGACGACATATTTCGATAAAGTGGTCGACGACAATGTTATATCGACAAGATTCTACACGACACTTCCCAATAGAGAAGCTGCTGAGAAATTAGCCGCGCTGGCTGCTGCCGGTAACGTCAACAGTCGTCTCATTGGACAGCTTCGGAAACAACAGAAAGAAGATATGCGGAAAGACGAAGCAATGCCGTTTAATCATAAGAACGATGACGGTGATGATGCAGTAATTCAACACGGTAAGATGACACGATCGCAGATCGATGGTGAATCTGATGAACAGCAAAATTATAATCAACCGACGAAATCAGATCAGAATATGAAAATCAGTCAGCAGCACCGCCCGCATAGGCAAAGCGTACAAAACGATGATGAAAAGTCACCTCTCCAAATTACTGTGCCTGATGAGAGCGATTACGTTACGAGCGATAATGATCAAAGTAACGTGGGAAAAGATGATATCGGAGACATGGAGTACGAGTACGAGAATGAGAATGAGAATGAGGATGGGGAAATTAAAGATGTGCAATCAGCGATTTTGCTAGATGGAAAAACGACGTCGCACGATAATGATTCTCGTATTGAGTTTGGCAGTCGTTTGCGTTCTTAGAGAAAACTAGGAAGCAAATATATTGTCGAACGCGCATACGTGTATTACTTTTTAATAATTGACGCTAGAAATAGGTATAAGCAGTATGTTGTAAATTAATAATTTATTTAAAGTTACTTATGCTACCTGTGTGCGCGCGCGCGTGTGTGTGTGTGTGTCTGTCTGTGTGAGAAACGCGTGAAAACGCGTGCATGCGTTTCCCGTTGATGCGGGCAATCGGAGAGTCTGCCAATTGCGAAATTTCACTCATGCTACTTGAAATATTCGTGCATCATCGTCTGGTAAAGGCAATATACGTATGTAACGGGTAAATCAATAACAATTTCGAGAAAGATACATGTAACTGATACTTTACTCCAAGTACAAATGATTAGTTTATTAGGTATCTTATATATCTTTAACTTTCTGTCGCCTTGTGAAAACTTGGCAAAATTAAAAATTTAATATTCAAAATTATCGTGCACCGTAAGATAAGTTTTGCTACATAGATCCAGATACCTCTACGCAAAATTGCAAGGGTAACTCAATTGTACCGTTTATTTCTTTTTTCGTCCTTATTATACATTTGCAAGAAGGAAAGGTTGCTGCAAAATATACTCGTTAAAGTATTACGCGGTAACTTACACATTAGACTCCTACCAATTTGCGAATCTGAGTTTCGTCTTAGATCTTGTAGGAAAACGCCACTACAAGTGATCTATAAACCATGGCCTACCGTCATTTGCAAGCCGTTTCGTGAGAATGTCGCAGCCGGTCTCCGTTACTAAAAGCGTATGCTCAAATTGCGCTGACCATTGACCATCCAATGTAACGGCAGTCCAATTGTCGGGCCATGTTTCGTCCTTCCACGTACCTTGGGATATCATTGGCTCGATTGTGAAGCAGTGCCCAGGTTTCATAACACCTACCGCTTTATTTTCTAGATATAATAAATGTTTCTATAAACTTTTCGATCGAAAGCAGAAATTTACTCACTCTTTACTAACTGTAAAAATCACTTTGGGAAAGCTACTTACTGGCATAATGTGGCACATTTGGCGCGGTATGGAACAAACGATGAATTCCATGGCCGCAATAGCTACGAACCACGCTGAGACCATGCGCCTGCGCGTGCTTTTGTATGACATTGCCAATCTCTCTGTATTTCTCACCAGGTTTTACAATGTCAATGGCCTTGGACAAGCATTCATATGTCACTTCCACCAACTTTTTTACTTCCGGTTTTACATTACCCACTAAAAAGGTCTCGTTCAAATCTCCGTGAAAGCCGTTGTGATACACCGTAACGTCAACTGGGAAGAAGCAATATCTCTGATGCTCGCGAAAGAAGAAAAAAACTTACACGATACAATTAACATTGACAGATTCATACCATTACAAATATCGCCATCCTGCAAGGGTCGAGTATCAGGTATACCATGGCAAATCACTTCGTTGACAGAAGTACAACAGCTGGCAGGAAATTGATAATAATTTAACGGCGATGGGTAACAATCTCTCTCGATGCAAGCTTCGTGCACAACTCTATCAATTTCGGCGGTTGTAACACCAATATCACACGTCTTTGCAGCTTCGTCCAAGACTTCTCGGCCGAGCTACGCAAAATTCAATTTGGAATCGATACATTGGAAATAAAGAACGCTATACGGGGGAAGCTCAACAACATCCCTCTCTGTCATCTCTATCTATGTCCTTCGCGAGAACATATACGGTACCTTGCACGCGACTCTCATGCCTTCGATTTCTTCATCGTCGAGAATTTTTATCTGGCCAGAACCTTTTACAGCTTGTTCACTGAGTGGTATCCCAGCTGGATGTAAGGCATAGTCTGGCCGAGCAATACGCTCGGGAACCTCTCTACGTTGCTCCCTTTTATACGGCCGTAATTTCCCGGTATAATTGTAGGTTGGCCAAGGATTATAATGGTCGGTTATAACTTTGTTTCCATTTTCTCCCTCTGATTATTGGTATACAAATGTGTTACGCGTAATGAAAGGAAAAAAAAGAAGTTATTATTAAAGTTAATAAAGTGGCACGAATGTAATGGTATACTCACTCGCCAATTGATGGATAACTTTATGCGTTTTCCAACTACCTTTGAAACAATTCTGAAAATTAGAATGCTACATTAATTGGCCAATCTAACGAATCTAACGAATTAAACGAATATCTTTCACTCTAGAGACTGTCTATCGGTTGAGTGTGGAGTAATTCCCTCTTGTGTGAGAGGTGGATCGCGCATTCGGATTGTAAAGAATTTTGAAATGGTGAAAAAATATTCCATTGCGACAGAAACAAGAGCTAATCTTAGGACACAACTGGGATTTATATAATAAATCAGTGGTAAATAAATCTTGTGGCGGGTCTCTTGGTTTAACGAAAATTTAATAGTGATTGTGAGTAAAGATCTCTCGACAACTGCTAAAAAGCATTAGTCCGGCCATTAGATCCCGATTATAATTATAATATCGGATGACGTTTAATACACGTGCTAACGGAAACACGTAACAGAATATATAACGTTAAATTGGGGATGTGAGAAAGCGAGATGGCCAATTTAACCTAAGATGGTATAACAGTGTTACTTACTTGGCTGCAGAAATATGAACCCTGAATGCCGATTTTTAAGCAAGTTGGACATTGCAGACTCGCAACGGCGTTACAGCCGGGTGTCTCGCACATTCCGAGCGCTATCGACATTATTAATTAAATTTTTCTACTGGTCGTAGTGTCGTGTGTCGTGTGTAACGTCGAGTAGCGTAGGGAACAGCAGGGAACAGGCCTCGAGTCGAGTCTCGAGCTCGCTGCTCGAGTCCTCGAGATTCTCGGGAGTCGAGACTGTCGAGAGTTCGAGAGTCGAGGTCGCGCTGTGTTGCTGCCCTATACTGCCCCCTTTCAATTTTGTTGCAAGTTAAAATTGTCTGGCATTTCACTCACAAGATAAATGCAATGTATGTATGTTTATGTTTACAACAAACATTCTCTGTCGGTAAATCTCTCTCATTTAAAAGAGATACGGTATCGCGCCATCGCCGCAATCGCGGTAGGCGAGTAGGCGCCAGGCGGTAGTGCTGGTATACGGTAATACACGCGAAGCGAGACCGTATGTACATATGTACTGCACTGTGTATGAGACTCGATATTAAATTATTAGATATATCTCAATAACCGTTCAATCGATCAAATTCTAAGTAGACCCAATCGATAGCTTCGATCAGTATAATAACAGTTAATAACCTAGAAGTAAAAAAACACGGTATTATGTATAACACCGCGCGCGGTCTTTCTTTCATCATCGTTATAAATTAAATATAATTTTGCATCCGTTACACGAGTTATGATTATGTCGAAATAATCATGTCGCGGTGTGTGTGCGCCTTGGTCACTTGGTGTCTGAAAAGTGGAAATGATGATGACAGCACATCTACGGAGAAAGAGTCAACGCGTCTCACTGTATGTACATACAGGTAAAGGTAATTATGAAGGAGAGAGGGGCAACTCCTCACCGAGTTTTGGCTAAAACTTAACAATTTTGTGTATTTTGGTGCGTTTTAAAACATGAATCTACAAGTTAAAATTGTCGCTCGCTCAATTAGGAAAAAAGTTATCAAGTACTATAAAGTTGACAGTTAAGCTTGGTTAGGATATGTAGCTCTGTCATTTATTATACTTACAATTAGTATTTTATAAGACCTTTCAATATCTCTGCTTTAAAAAAGAATAATAACTCTATTTCTATTATCCTTTTTAACCATGCATTTAATTCAATATATGGTATATTATGGCATATTCAGTATAACAAAACTGCTTTTTTTTTTTGCAAAGAAAATATAATTCATGTTTTTTGCTAAAGCAGAGAATGGTTGGTCCATCTATTTTCTGCTTTAACAAAAAACATAAATTATTATTTTCTTTGGAAAATATGCAGTTTTGTTGTACTGAATATACCATAATATATTAATTGAACGGTTAAAAAAGATAATAGAAATAGAGTTATTATGCTTTTTTAAAGCAGAGAAAATAATTAGCATATTGAAATACTAAAAGTATAATAAATGACAGACATCCTAACCACTGTCAACTGTCAACTGTCAACTGTCAACTGTCAACTTTAGGGCTTAATAACTTTTTTTCTAATTGAGAGCGACAATTTTAATTTATAGATTCATGTTTTGCGCACCAAAATACACAAAATTGTCAAGTTTCAACCAAATTGGTGAGAAAGCCCGTCTCTTTCAGAATTACCAAAATTTATTTTACATTTCGATTTCAGAATCAATACGCTATCAATCAGTTGTAATAATATATCGTGTAATGCAACACCGTGTGCCTTAATTGGTATCTACTACTATCTACTGGAAATGGTGACAGCACATCTACAGAGAGAGAATCAACGCGTCTCACTATTGTGTACAGGTAAATATTATCGAGTGAAATATACATATGTAGCAGAATACGTTATTGTCGTATTACACGGTTCGCAGTAATTAAAAATTTATTTTATTTTATATGCACAACATATATCATATTCTTTTTTTAATAAAAAGGAAAAACACACAAACCAGGGTGTCCCATTTTAATTTATCCTCAAAAACTTTTTTATTTTTAATTTGAGAAAAAAAAATGCAGACAAAATAAGTTGTTTTTGCTTGAAGGGGGACACATGATTTCGATGCGAGCCATGTCGTACAGTGTATTCATTGTTCGATCACTTTATATTTTTATAGGTACGTAGAATAATGAAAAAAATCGATTGTAAAAAAAAAACAGAAAAAATTATTCTAATTTGATTGCATTTTGTTATAGCGCATTTCATTTTTCAAAATTGCAAATATAAAAATTAATATTATTATTCGATTCCTTTCATCAGCCTACGTATAAAAGTATCAAGGTAAAAAAGTATGACAAAATTGAAAATATCAGGAAATTCTTAACGAAGGAGAGCTTTGTTAGTGTTTTGAAAACGTCTCGAGATCTACAACTTTTATTTCAAGGAAACAGTCAAGTTCCATTTAAGAAATTGTAATAGTCGCCTTTGAAATTTCTTGAAAACAATGACATCTACGACATGGTTCACATCGGAATCATGTGTCCCCTTTCAAGCCAAATAACTTTTGTCTGAAGCATTTTTTCTCAAATCGAAAATAAAAGTTTTTTTTTAGAAGGAGGGGGGAGAGGTAAATTAAAATAGGGCACCCTGTATATGTGTATATATTCGGTCCTCTCTCGATGGAACAAAACATCGCGATTTTTATTTTTTCCTCTATTGTCATGTGTATTTTCAAAAATTTATACCATCAAATGACGATTTTAATTGCATTGCAATGACACATTAACAATAATGTAATGTGTTTGTCTCTGGTACTTGTTGCTATCACAATTACATTGTTTCATCAACGTATTGTGTTTTTCCATTCGACAAATTCTCCTTATAATTTATATATAATATACATATATGCGAGATGACAAAATCCGAGAAAATCGAATCGGGTCATTTACTGCTTTACTCAACAGACGGTTGCTCTGCCGTTAATTTGTTCAGCATATATCTCTGGATGTCTGTATATATATCTCCGCGCAAAAGAAAGTTATAAAAATTAAACTAACGAGAAAAAGACATAGGTATACATGTATTTACGTTATACAAAAGGTTGGATACATATATGGAAAAAGAAAAGATCAAAGAAAAGAAAAATGAGTTTGTGTATATGTATAATGTACCATGTAATGGTACATGGTGGTCATGACATGACACCACCATCTGAACTGTTGTTACTTAATTATTAATTTAATTTTCGTGAAACTATTTTCCATTTCTTAAGATTTAAAAAAAAACATAAAAATACTGATTTCTTATAAACAATTATGAAAGACTTACAAAAATAAATCTTAATTTTTGCTGTACAATGAGAATTAATCTGTATAATAATGAAATTTTTTAGATAAGAGGAGATAATTCTTTGACAATTTGCAACTTTTGCAAAAACAATTCTCCGCATTAAAAAAAAAACAAAAGTTGTTAAAAGTCATATGGGAAATATGAAAAAAAAGATTTTATTTTGTTTCTTATCGTTAGTTAGATTTATACCCTTCCCTGGATGAGAGGTCTTATTGCCACGCAATTACAGCTAATGTTAAGTGGTTGGAAATTGTTGAGGGATAAATCTTCGAATGAGAGAGTATCGAAAGAAAATTGCTTTTCGCATATTTCCTCGTATATTTATAAAATTTTAAATTTCTTATTATCGTTATTATATTAATTAACTTTAAACTTATTCCTATAATAATAGTAGTGGTAGTATTAGTAGTAGTAGTAGTAGTAGTAGTAATAATAATAATAACAGCAGCAAAACAACAACAACAACAGCAACAATAATTTTATACTTATTCTTGTGAAAGCAAACGAGCAGAATTTATATAATGGGGTGATCTCATGACAGTAATTCGATACTTGACCGATAGAAATCGTCGCGTGGGATATGAAACATATGTTCCAAGGGCGCAGGGCCAAACGCAATCCTTTTGGAATATTTAGCAATGCAAACTCGTAAATGGTCAGCATAAATTGTTTATTATTTTCTGTGCATATTTATAAATAGCATTGCATTTGCGCGTGCGCACGCGTACGTATGCCTGTGCGTCTGCGTCTTTAAACAATTAAAGTTACTAAATTGATTACGCGTACTTCATTGTCTTCATTTTAAATATCTCAGTATCTCAGGAAATTATTACTGCAATGCAAGTGAGTTTATGCCATGGCTTATCGTTATTCTTTTCTAATCTGGCAATAATTGTATAAGATTAATCGTTATTAATATTCAAAATAAGTCATGAATCTATTATTATATAAAAAAAGACGCAGCTATAAATCGAAGGTAATCGTTTGATATAGTGAAATACACGCGTAATAACGTTTCTTAATCGTAACAATATAACTTGAATATTTTCTCAAATATGTAATAGGATATTATGTTGTTTGTAAATGAGACTCTGTGTTTCCTCTTCCCTCCATTTTTCCCAGAAAAATATTCGTGTATCTTTATACTTATGCGATGAAAAATCTCTTGGGTCCTCCGTTCTCATTCTTCCAAGTGCGGAAGCTCGGTCAGTGTCTCGGCCACCCTCGTGCTGTGCAGTTTGCGAGGGGGGGACCGGTTGGCATCCCCTCTGGATATACATACATATATATCCTCTTCCTTCTCCATCCCTCTCTCGACTTAACGCCAGTATGAGCGCGCGCTTTCGAATGACGCGTTCGTGTCTGCCGCGAGGGATACGTTCAGTTCAGTCTGTTCTCCACGTTCTCCACGCAAGGACGATTGCCGTCCGCTCCGTTTGGCGAATCGTAACGTGAATTTTAATTGTTTATTCGGCCGGGCCGAATTATGTGTTTGGGAGATAACGCGCGGCAATTGGATGTATATGTATAGACATTTCGTGTGGACATTAATTCTTTTCCCGCGTTCACTCTTTCTCTCACGAATTGTCCTCACGTGTCATCGCCAGATGAAAGCGTGCGGGACGCTAATGCGATCAATGATTTGCTCAAGTCGAAAAATAAACGCTACATTTGCAATAAACGTTACAGTCGAATTTCTTTCATTGATATAACAATGTAATACGCGCGGACAGTAGCACGTTTCGTTTGTTATGACCCAACTGGTATTCGAGAGTCGTCGTCGTCGTCGTCTTCGTCGTCTTCGTTATCATCGTCGTTGTCGTCGTCATCGTCGTCGTTACCGCCGTCGTTATCGTCATATCGATATTTTATCCGATAATCTCGAGATGAAGCCACTCTTGGTACTCGCAATCGTCTACTTGCTGGCCAAGATCGTCGATTGCCGAGCCGTTGAAAATAACACTGATGAGAATGAGCGCGATAAACGACGACACAAGTTCTCCGTCGAGGACCTACTCAACGTCAAGTTTCCGCACATTATCACTGGAGATTTAGATATTGATATTTGCAAGGCAGGTAAGCACAAAAAATAAAAAGAAAAAGATTGATGGTTGTATATATCGGAATTGTTTAAAAAAAAATGCATTTATAGAAAAAAAATAGATGTAATTATTACTATAATATTGTAATCGAGTAAATTTTTTTTAAGGGGAAAAGGATAGAGTGTGTCGAGTGTATAGATTTTTTTATTGCTGTAAGCAAAGAAAAACAAATTTTTATAAAGGCAGATGCGAGTGACGCGTATATATGTATATCTGATTCTTTCTTTAATTTCAAGTATATGTTGTATCTTTTATTGAAATTTTATTTCAAAACCAAGAATTTTATTGAATTTTATTCGATTTGATAAAACATATTAATTCTCCAAAATATTTGTTCAACACTTTATTCTTAACACTTTAGGCATTCGATTCAGCCTTCCGACACTTGATGCGTTCATACAACACACAAAAGATATTTAAACAATCAATTTAACGATATATATATATATGTGATACAAGCTAGGATAATTGGCAACAAATAAAATAATAGGATATAAATAGATGGCCAATTAAGGACAAATGTTCTTGGTTTTGGTCTGGGAAAGAGACATTGATTATTCTCGAATGAATGGTATCTCTGTTTTCCGTTAGGTAATTCCTTTTCTTTTAGAACTCTAAAGACTCGTATTCAAGATGAATTTGACTGCTGAGGTCTGAGAGGATTGCCATAGTGAAGAGATAGGGTAGTCTTTTTCTTCCTCTCGAAATTATTATCTTGGAAGTGTCTCGAGAACTGTAGACGAGTCAGCAGTGGAGGGGAAAAAAGAAGGGAAAGAAGGGAATGATACGGCACATTTTTCGGGTGTCGTATTGACTTGATTCGAAAAAAGAACAGGAGCAACATTTTCCTTCAAATTTTTAGAATCGTAAATTTAACATTAGAATATATTAGATGATACTAACGATAATCGCTTTAAATAATTTCTTAAAAATCCGGACAAATGATTGCGTTTCTTTCAAGTGCATTATTTATTTTTTGCTCATTCTTCCGCTACTCTCTTTTCACCCAAACGTTTTATTATTCAAGGGCCGATTAATCTTTAAGAAATATAATAACAATATATAACAAATATATAATAATAAACTAAGAAAACTCGTAGTGATAGTATATCATTACTAGCAGCTATTGATACCAGAGTCGTCGATTATTGTTACCGATTATTGTTAATTACATAAGAGAAATGGTAAATCTTCCGTCCGATGCTTGCAAATATAATCGACGTAATGCAGATTGCTTGACGGAAGTCTTTAAATTCTTTGTTCTTTGTGAAGAAAGTCTCAGCGACTTAAACGAAGATCAAAAGCCGGCGATATTTCGTACAATCTATCGGCTGTTAACACTATATTTTCAATACATGCGGAATTTGTTTTATTGGAATTACTTATATTGTTGGAATTGTTTGTATTAAATTTTTACATTTACTTTATATCACGCTCTTAAAGTTAATAAAATTTCTGAGACTATTATTGCGACAAATACATAATCCACACATATGTACATGTACAATTTGATGTAGCACACACATGTGATACTCTCACTGGGTGAATTTTTAGGTACAGTAATCTCCAATGGATTATTTGTAGTACACACACACACACCCATGTATGCTCATGTACACGCGCACATATATATATGTATATAAATATATATATATATGTATATAAATATAATCTATTAACATAAGTTTTTATGCAAAAGAGATTTCAGCCCAGAACGTTTCTCTTCCTGTTGTTACAGTTTACGAAATTTTTAGCTTCCAATTATATGTATATTCGACAGACTTGAAGAAAGTTTTCATAAAGATCAGTAAATCAGTATGCTACGTTCAAGTGTGTCTTATTAATGAGGAAAAAGCATGTCGCAATCTTCTTTATGCTGCTCTGAAAAGGCTGAAGAAAAAGTCGGCCGCTCGAAAAAACAGCGTCGAGATCGCGTTCTCGCGCGGATTCTCGTAACGCTAATGCATCCTGGTGCATGGTGTTGTCGAACACGCGTTTCTCTCTTCTTTCTACGTAAAGTACAACTGCCATATGCTGTGATTTCTCGTCTAAAAATGCATTCGATGAATCTTGTACTGCATCTCGTTTTTGAATGGCTCTATTTCTCGAACGTTCGAGCGATTAAATCTTTCCGAATATCTTTCCTTCGCAATATATTTGTTTTGACCAATCCTAAAAGTTTGAAAACGTCTTTCAAGTAAAGAGGCTCAAAAGCATTGATATTCGTTTTATCTGCAAAAAGAAGTTTAATTATCTGTAACGAACAGGCAAAAATGCATGCTTTTTCAAAGCTTTTTTGCTCAAAAGCCAGGGCTTCACGTTGCTTCACATTAAATTTTTATCTGTGCGAGACATATGTTGGTGATTTACCCTTTTCCTCTGCGTTCTTTATACTCTTTCGCCATTTCTCTTTCTCTTTCTCCCTCCCACTCTCTTTCTCTTTCCCTCTCTCTCTCGCCCTTTCTCTCGTCCCCTCTCCCTCTTTCGCCACTTCCATTCTCCCCCCTCTTTCTCTTTCTCTCTTATTTGCTGTCTGATGCTTGCTTTCGCCCTAATTGTTTTTCTCTCTAAATTAGAAGACTTTGATAGAGTGTACACGACAAGTGTGGTATATATTACGTGCATCAAAAAACACGTCCTACATTTTCAACTATTACAACTTTAAATATGCGCAAAAAAATATTTGCGGCCGGAAGAATTGATGGCACAATACGATGGATAATGTCAAATAAGTTTTTCAATTATACCATTAGTATATTATACATTTCTTTACTGATTAGTTTATTAAAATTAAAATTCTTGAGATTATAATTGACCGCGAGAAGATAGCATAATCAGATAATGCAGATTATTTGTATATGAATTTTTACAGAATCATGCACGATACTGCATGTACTCGTGCATTTTATATAATGTAATTGATAGTGATATCAAAACATTACGTCGAAAGACGCAAGTTTATATGTATGTATATACCACAAGGTGCAAAATTACATCTATGTCTATTGATTAATATCTAGCTATCGAATGAACGCGCATATAACTCGAACGTTCTGTAAAAAATCTCGAAGCTAAATCACATTACATGCAATGTTCATTCGCGTCACAACACACTGCACGCACACACACACACACGCGCACACACACACACACACACACACACACACACACACACACACACACACACACACACACAGAAAAAAGAATATTCTTGATTTGAAAATATCTTTAGTTTCAAAGTGGAAATTTTGAAATGAGATTATATTGCGTTAAACGAGGAAAACTTGCTTGAATAAAGTCATTATACAGTTCAACCAAGAAAAAAAATTTTGAAATAAAAAGTTGAAATTCTTATAAGAAGATTATAGTGATCTTGCTTATATATATATGAAACAGTCTATATCTTCTTATAAGAATTTCAACTTTTTTTTTTGACTTATATAATGACTTCATTCGAGTAAACTAAATATATTTTCAAATCAAGAATATTCTTGTGTGTGTGTGTGTGTGTGTGTGTGTGTGTGTGTGTATGCGCGCGTGTGTATTTTAATATTACATCTAAACAAGTAAGTTATAGTCAATTACGATGAAACAAGACAAATTGGCGTAAACGAGAAGATTATAGCATCAGTGCAGAAAATATGCACTTGGAATGCTGAATAGTATCAAACGTAAGTTTGCCAAAGTTATACATAATTACACAAGATACGCGAAGCAATGAAAATTAAAAAGCAAGTAAGGTACTTGGCAACAGTTTGCTGAAATTTATTGCTTTAATATTGAAAATATAACAACAATAATCAAGTATAAATCACACGCTTATCGAGAAGACATTAGTAAACGATTTTCTTTCATATTTATAAGTGATTGAAAATATTTTTCAGTGAGACGTAATATATAATAAAATTAAATCTGCAAGAGCTGTATAAAAAGTATTATTCAAGATAGCCGTTTATAAATCAATGCGAATCGATTCTCTTCGATGCTCTCGGTTAAGCCGGGATGTAGCATGCCATTCGCCTTGCTTTCCTTCTGTTTGCTTGATTATCACGTCGAGTGATAACCTTTCAACCCTCGGCATGCCTCTGGCACGCAGTTAGTGGGGCTTTTTCTTTCATTCCAGACGAAGAAACGAGATTTTGATGTCTTACCATTTATTTAGAATTTTAGAACACACACACACACACACACACACAATATTTACTCTTACCATATACATGTATCCAAGCTCTGGACTTGATGGTCGTTTCATTATATTGTACTCAGAGTTAGGTGAATAAAATAATACACTACATATATAATCTATTATAATTATGTTATATGCGTCATGTATTAATTTATTGAGCTCTCTGTTTTAACTCGGTTATACTTAAGATTGCGCGCACGTTTACAGTTTATAAACATATAACATTATTATATAGTATTATTCGTATATTTTTACGCGCGTATACGCACTACGCACATTGTTCCTTGTAGTCACAGAGCTATCTCTTTACTCGTGATTATATTGTATGTGCGTATCTCTATACAACCAAATCTTAGAAATCTATCTCCTTTTCTTTATTCTTCGATTTTATTTTTAGAAACTTGACGAAAGAAATAATTTTATTTGGTTCTCGGAATATATTTTCGGCATATGAATGAACGTGAAACTATATGACATTTGATCGAATCAAACTCAGGAAGTGGAAAGTGACGCAGAAGCTGTGAACGTGATGAGGATTTATCCTTTGGGATTAAATTGAATATTCACTGGTGCGCGAGAGACGGACTATGACGCGGAAGAACAGCGAAAAAGAGGATAGAAAGATGCTTGTCAACTAGAGATACTTGTCGTTAACACTTATCGTTTTTACGATTGAGATCAAGCCATCCACAAGCCATCGTTACAACGATCAGTTTCAAGATAAAAATGGAAACGTTATTGAGAGGAATGTCGCGCAAACACAATGAATCATTATTAACACGAGTTCGTTATTATCGCTCGCGACATATGTATAACAGAGTGGCAGTCACCTCGAGAGAAATCGTTTCTTTTGTGATTAGTGTGGAAACTGCGTACTCGCATATTCGGCTTTATGTACTCTATAATGATTTCTTTGCCGCAAGATATCTTCATTTGATATTGCACTTTATTTCGATATGATACATTAGATCTATATATTGTAGAGAGAATCCGTTATGATCGAGCATAAATACGAAATACAATATAAGAAAATACCTAAGGAATATAAGGAATGATCACACACGATATAATCGCTTGATATATTAGATATGTATATGTGCATTATATTGAGTAGTGCAGAGCATCGCGTATATCGGAGATATATACTTAGTGCGTATCGAGTTTTCATCATTAAATAACCGTAACTAAAAAGACAGGCTGATTGAGTGCATCACTGCGCCGAGAAGACAGCGATGAACAGAGATGCGGTAAAGTTTTTGAGTGGTACTAAATTAAATTGGTAAGAGTATGCCAGATGAATGACGTAAAATTGGGATGATGAGAAAAGTATAAAGGGCCCGAGCTTTTGCTGTAAGCTCGAGCTGTAACGTTAAAAGATGTAGATAGTCTTTTTTAATCATCGCGTAAGTCGCATCAAATTGAAGAAAGGATATACACGAGTACTCGTAGAACTTGTATCTTAATAATTTGTATAATAGAGAAGTTTTCTTGTGTTTCGTGCAGTCTCTCGTTTCCGGACAAGTGATGCCCAATAATAAGCAATAATAATATTGTATAATATAAGATATGATATTTATATCGCTGAGATATTTTATTAATTAAAATATGTCACACGTTTTTCCAAAATGTTTAATCTACGACGATCCGCCATTGTACCTTAATGTTTTTGACATTATCTCAATTGCAGTATCAAATCAATATAATTTACTTAAAAACAAATAAATCCGATGAATATTCACATCACACTGTTCGATAATCACGATATCAACATTTCGTTCGACATGAACAAACTTCCTTCCTCCTTCTTGCGATTCTACCGTGCGTCATGCAGAAGCGATCGAATTGACATTGACAAAGGATTGAAAGGGGTAAAATATCGCTTTAAATCAACAAAAGAAAATTATCATCGAATACTGCATGTTATTGCGCGCAGGACGAGGAAGAAGAAGAAGAAGAAGAAAGGAAAAACGAAGAGAAAGCAGATATAAAGTTGACGTCAGTAGTGTACGTGAGCGTTTAATCCGACGCGATAGAGACTCGTCGCGATGCGAGAGGTTTCTCCATTCGAATCAATACAGCACATACTCATACACATACTCACATAATCCGCGGACAGATTATACATATGTAGTAATACATGCGTATGGTACATTGAGAATATTAAGCATTTTTCATTTTTTTCACGCATTGTCTTTGTTTCCCCCCCCTTTTTTTTAAGTATATTTAAGTAATAAGTCCGCTATACTCTGTAGGGAGAGCATTGACGTAAAATAATTCAAGGCCAAAAATCTTTTTTTGTCGTATTAATCGCATTCCGAGTATCTAAGCTCGATAGTTAATCACATCACAGTATATAACATTATGGGAACGATTTTAGAATAGGTTGTTAGAACTAGAGATAATCCGTCACTAATGACAACAAGATACAGCTTAAAAAAAAGTAAAATTGGCGTAATTGCGAGACAATGTTTTATGATGACGATAGAATCGTTTGGCCGTTTGTAAGTATTTCAGTGCAAAAGTCAAAATTATCTTTTCAGCTAACCAAACAGAAGTAGCTCTTGTCTACTCTATTTCATAAATTTTTGATATCTCTCTCTCTCTCTCTCTCTCTCTCTCTCTCTCTCTCTCTATTTATTTATCTATCTCTGTCTCACATCTCGCGTGCTCTTGCAAATGTCCTGGAAATGGAAAAGGAGGCTTCTCTGATCGATTCGGAGATTGGAACAGTTCCGACATCACGATTGGCTCTTTGCCACGATTCCGCGGCAGAACGATAGCATCTTGAATATTATCTTTATTCTTTTTTTTTTATTTTATTTGAAAAGTCTGTTCTCTGAACAAATTTTATGTGTGTGTGTGTGTGTGGTACACAAAACACACACACACACACACACAAAAGAGAATTAAAAGAAAAGCTGAATTGAAGGGCATTTATCACTTGTAATGAATATCGTGGGGTATCGATGAAATTATTTCCCGCGAACATTCGGACGATGCTCCCGCCTGAATGGTACGAAATCACCGATTCGAAACGGACAGGGGTTTGGCATTACGTGGTTTGTAACCGACTACACGGTGCATATACATGCATTCGTATACGGAAGCTGTGCAGGGCCGCACTTGCAATTCTACGTAGAGAATTGTAACATTGTATATCCATTTTATATGTTTTATATATTATAAATTAAAGCTTTTGCAATATACTCTCTTAAAAATCTATTATTAGACTTATACTGTAACAAGACAATTATTGCAAGTGACTATAATTATAATATTATACAGCATCTCGGAAAGCAAGGAAACTGAAAAAAATGATTATAGAGGAGATAATAGAAACTATATATGTAGATCGGAAACTGTAATTGATACTTTAGCAAGTTTAATACCTTAGGCCTATTGTGCGCATGCATGCGTATATAAATGCATGTATTATACGAATGGATGAACTGTGACTGCAGCTATGCAATTCGTTGCTACGAAGCTGTATTTATGGATATGTCGCCGCGAATGCGCGGTGATTTCAACCTCGTTAATACTTATCGAGGTGTGATCGTGTGTGCGTACGTACGTGCGTGCGTGAACGCCTAATTAATTAACCGAAACGGGCGCCAGCGCATACGCAGGGATGTGCATATATACGCTTGCGACATCGCAGATTGGAAGAATTCCAATTTATTACGCGCGTTACTCGTACATTCAATCCGTTGACGGTATGGAATTGTATAACGATATATGTGTCGTTTGATTAATTTCAGGCGGTTTTCTCGGTGACATTGCTCTGCCAAATATCAAATACGACACAGAATGGCGCGAGCAAAAATTAAATAAAAGCTATTTGGAAGAATTGAAAAAGTATAGAGAAGAAATATTAAATGAAGGCTTACAGGTGGAAGAGGAAGGTCTTACAGGTAAATAATATATTAACGCAAATTTCTGTCGAAATGGACTGATCGGGACACAATATCGACACTTTCCGATAGTTATGATTGCCCTTGTAATTTTACTTAACAAATATAATTTTACAAATATGGCGCGCATACACACACCAAATTTGCAATTGTAAAAAGTACTCGTGTTTATTTATATAATTGCGATTATATATATTTATGGTTAACTTTCATAATTAATTAATTTTCAATTCGAAGAAATCAAACTGTTTATTCCAGAGCTTCTCCAGTTTAAGAGCGAACACGATGCTAACAAACAGGTGCTGCATGAGCACGATCAGATGGTTGCTCGAGAAAAGTCAGAGCCTATTATGATAGACCGCAACCAATATAGCACGGGTGACGAATCCGAAGATGGTTTCAGCTTTAGTGCTAGAAACGATGATACTAATCCCGCAGTGAAAGACGAGGGCTTTGAATTCAGGTATTACAATGAATTTACTTATTATAATATATACTCTCTTATACCGCGTGCGTTTCACACGATACAAAAATAATTAAGTGAAACATATCTAATACATTTGACATCTTTCTTTATTGCGTAATGCATATTTTTCAAGTATTACGCGTGAGAAAATATTATCACAAGTGTTGACATAAATTTTAGAGAAGGAAATATGATATAAAAATCTCAACGGAAAATGCGTTTTGTATATGGTCGTTCTTTTCATCCTGTAAATAAAAATATATACGTATCTTCTGGAAATATTTAACCCTAATTTATTTTATTTCATTTATTTGTATGGATATTACATCCATATTTGTCTATTATATTATATAGTCAAATATATATGCATAAATAGCATAGAAAAAAAAAAAAATGATGAACTTACCGATTGATAGTTGTGCCTATTATTGTGTCTATCAGATTGGAATTCTCGACCCAAGCTTCAAAGAAAAGGCATTTTGGACAACAAGCTCATCGACAGCTTTTCAGGAGGACTTGGATATCGAGTCGATCAGTGACAGCTAAACAATCGAATGACGACGTGCCTCTCGAATTTTCAACCTCTACAACCCCTACAACTTTAACTCTCGAGGATAATAAATATGTAGGTCGCGTACGTACAGGCGGCGTCAAGGAAACATTTACCGCGCAACCTGAAACGAATACGCAAAGTGTCGCAAACCAACGACGTCGACGTCATCATCGCAGAAGGTAGGAAGGCGCAATCAAATTTAGTCAAATATATAGATATTCGATTTAATGTTCAATTTAAAATTAATAAAAAACGTTATCACAACGTTAGCAGCTCTACGATGCAATAGATTAGCTAGCATGGCTCGGTTAGTCATTAGCGTGGCGAATTGTTTACTTTTATTTTGCTTTGACTCGATACGTGTCCCGATATCTCGCTTTCATATCGCCAGCATACGCATAGTAAATCTTGATATATAAATGATGACATAAATTGGTAATGTTGGCTAAATGACACAAGTTAATAATACTAGCTTATACGCATGAAAGACATTATTCGTAGTATTTTCCATTGATATTATTACGTGCACGCGTAAATCGTTTTCCGAATAAAAAATCAAATGGTTGATTCACTGTGGATGCGCAATTAAATTGTTGAAAAAGATCCCGAACGCGAGATTTGCGATTTGGCATGGCATATATGTATATATATCCTATCACTCTTTCATTTGGCTATTGGCGAGCGTATCAATTTCTAAGTATCGCCAACTCGGTATTTCCGTTAGCGGGAGCTACCTCGCAATGCCAATAACAATGGCCGTTGTCGTAAAGCTGGAAAATGGGGTTTGAGATACTATACCCCATACGTCCGGACATTTTCAGCCCTCGAACTGCCAATAACTTGTCAGCATTGGCAGCGACATTTCGCGCGTATGCCCGTGATGTTAGGTACGTCGTTCGCGCGCATTATCCTTGTGTACTCTTATACACGAAAGTTAAATGCGAAAAGAAGCTTATAGCTTTCTGACTTTTTCATTCATTAGTGTTATATCTTTTACCCGCGATGTATCGAATCGTTTTGACTTCATGTTCTAGGTTGCATTCTAGAGTTTCTATAGACAGTAGTAGTCACATTACTATCAACGATATAGGAGCGATCAGACGGAAGAGCTGTGCGTGTGCGCGTGCGTGCAGATAAATAAATAAATAAATCGAATATATATGTATATTCGAGTATACAAGAATAAGAGATTGCTATATAACAATACAATCTGTAAATAAACGGGAACTTTGGCACAGACAAATCGACAAACAGTCATTATTTTAGCTAGTTTACAAAGTTGGAAGAAAAGAAAATCCGTTTTATATAGTTGACTGACGAGCGCTGCTCGTCCCCTTTCATTCGTCTTTCCTAGAGCTTCCACTGATCCGTGTTTCGTATCTGCCACGCGTTCGCGGGTCCAGCGAGGGCTGAATCTCCTCCCTAGAATTCTCTAGAGCTTCGTCGGGAATCACCGCCATACGATCATGTTTCATCGATATCGGATATAGGGCGTAAACACGCGCTTTCGTAAGCTTGTTTCAAAGCTTAATCTATACGTTCGGTGCGCTCCCCAATCCCTATATATGTATCGCGACCCTTTTGGGTTTTCACCCCTATGGGATTAACACATTGACATGTACGTACATGCGCAGAGTACGCTATATACGAGTGCGAAACTTTGTGAAGCTATACGAAACGAAGACCGTTACAATATGATGTTTAATAAACAACGACTGTGTGTGCGTGCGTGTTTTTCTTTCGATTCTCAAGTATATTCGCCTCTGGTTAAAACGCTCAATTATCTTGAAAATAATTGTTTAAAATCAAGGCATGGAGCAAATTTTGTCTTTAGACTTGAAAAAAAAAGCTTATTTATACATTAATTAATTGTTATGCGAAGTGTCATATATAAATAGGTATGCATAAGTTATAAATGTTGAATAAATTCGATCAAGACCGATCACACTCGCATCATTTTTTAACAGCAACGATTTATTATCAATAGAAATAGATCAACATTTATACGTTGCACGTTAGCATCTTCAGTTGTGTATTCTTCCTCTCTTCTCTTCCGCCCCTCTCTCGAACAGATCGTACGATCTACACCGCGCGGTCATGCCGTATAATATCTCGTCGAAGCAGCGAAATAGATGGCTAATCTCCTCGCAACACAGCACAACTAGGCGCAACAACGAGCTACGCGTAGTACATAGAGGAAGCACGGTAAATGCTCCGGTAAATCTCAACCGGATTCATTAACGCACTCTACTGTACTTCTCCTCGTTTCTCACGATGCTTACGATCGTGATACTTGAAGGCGGCTTACACGCGAGACACGCTAATTAATCGTAATTGTAACGCTTTGCTGATTCAGCAACGCCTTGCCTAACATATAAGGGCTCACACGGATACGCTTAAATTGTCTATAAGTCTAAGGGATCACTTATTGTACAGTAGCGCGGCGTGATACCTCGATTTCCCATATATTTATCTACTATGAGATCTTGATAGGTGGTAGGTGCACACAGCAGTGCAGCAGAGCGATCTTTCACAGTCGCTCGACAGTCCCCACAACAGTCCTATCGAAGTACCGATCACACGCGCACCCCATCTTATTACAAATTAGTAGATTGTTTGCATTACAAAATGCGCCCCGATTGATATAACATACAATTGATATATAACTCGAATCGGTATTTTTCTCTTACGCGAAGGAAAAATATACGAAAACGTAAAACACATGTCTAGAATAAAACGTGAAACAATGTAATATATTTTGAATAGTGATTTTACAGCTATCGTTGATGGTTATCGTTACTAGACCAGCATTATCATGGATTTAGTTTGTTGCTGGTTAGATTTTAGTTGCGTTTTATTCTTTATTCTTCCTATAATGTTTGCCAATCGCGATACAATAAAATGTGATCCCTAACGTTGCGTTTCGTCGCGATTGCCAATGCCAATTGCCAATTTCATTCGCGCTCTCGTTAAAAGTTACGCGTTCACAGTTACGTTCGCATTTATCGCTATACTTTCGGAATCGTTCTCCGCTTTACAAATGCTTATATTTTTGAATTCATCACAATTGCAATTGCATCACATAGCAGGCATGTGCGCATATATTTCTGGTTGCGGTTTTAAAATTTTCTTTTCTTTCTTTTTTCTTTTGTGTGCGCGTGCGCGCATGTACAAGACTATATATGTATATGTACGTGTGATATCGCTATACGTTTGTATGTATATCCTTACAATTAGAATTTTACGCAGATGTTCTCACAGTCATTGCAATCGACGAATACATGGCCTTATTACCGATGCATCGGACGAAATCGTTTCTGTACACGATCGACGCCTTCGTTCCATCGAGTTCTATGATATAGAACATAAACCGAAATACTTGGCGAACAAGAGTGGCACGAGACATGTGTATTTAAGCAGAATACGTCGGGCGGCTACCGCGAGGAAGGAACGAGTGTGGGATCACGGTGTAATCCCTTACGAGATCGATGGAAATTTTTCCGGCGCACATAAAGCCTTGTTCAAGCAGGCGATGAGACACTGGGAAAATTTCACTTGCGTCAAATTTGTAGAGAGGGTGCCTAGAGAGCATCCTAATTACATTTTGTTTACGGAAAGACCTTGCGGGTGAGTCTAGAGAGAGTATGCGCCTCGCGCATGACACAGACAATATTATTATTACATCATATATCCGTATAGCGCTTGATTTGCACAATTTATCGTCCTTATTCTTATCAATTTACATATATGTGTGTGCGTGTGTGTATATGTATATAAGCAATTCGAAAGTTTCGAGTCATTTTAAGCGAATATATCCTCACTTGACTTTGTTCATTTCTCGAATCTTTCTCTCGCGAAGATAATTATACATATATAGCGGCCATAAGATATTCCAATGTGCCCCCCCGATATCTTTTATATGATTTTAAGAGGAGAAAAGATAAAGACGTCATGTCCGAAACTTGTGTATATGTTTAACCTGCTAAATTTTTCTCGATAGATGTTGTTCTTTCGTTGGAAAGAGAGGTAATGGACCGCAGGCTATTAGCATCGGGAAAAACTGTGACAAGTTTGGTATAGTTGTACACGAGTTGGGTCACGTCGTTGGATTTTGGCATGAACATACTCGACCGGATCGTGACCGTCATGTACAAATCATCCGCGATAATATTATGAGTGGTAAGTGCACGATCTCTCTGATTTATTCCGAAACTGTGAATATCGCACGTGTGTGTATGGCATGATCTTTTACGTAAGTTAATGTCAATAATACCTTCCATGTTAAATAAATCCAAGTATAGCAAATGCAATCGCTTATTTACTTTGATTTGCATTTAAAAGAATAATGCTGTGCACGCGCGCGCGACAGAATGGCTTCTCCTGAAATATTTATACGTGGAAGATGTCACATTTATCGCTAACAACATCAATATCACGTGAGCGGAATTTATTTATAATTTCAAAATTTAATACAGTTAATCTGTGATCCAGTTATGCCCAACGATTAAGTTAATCTCTTGAAAATTATAATTATCGAGTTTTATAAAAGAAAAATACATTTTCAAAGTAGGAATAATGAATGACCAAGTTTCAGATAAAAAAATATTCTAAAAATTCTTGTCCTTTTTACATGCTCTTTTCCAGACTCGTTTATTGGCCAGCGTATCTCTGGAATCAGTATGTAAATTTTTGAACGGATTTCTTTTATTAAATTAAAGTTATAATTGTAATTAGACCACTAAGGTTATAGCGGTACTCATTATTTAATCATTCATCACACATCTTTTTAAAAATCATTCTCAAATCGATCCTATTAATCTTTTCGGTATGGGAGCTGACATGATCGAAGATTTGTCAAATCTCCAACTCCCTTATAGGATCTGGGATGGATTTTACTTGGCGAGATTTTATAGTCATCGCGTAACACACGCTGTACAATTGAACCAATATTGTAAAACATTTGTGTATTGAGTTGTGTAAAACGTAAATTGGCATGCACGGGACCCGTCCATCTTCTCATTAATCAAAGCTATTGCATCGCTGTTGTGCAGGGTATGTACAAGGACCGATTTAAGAGATTGTCAGTAATATAATTATGCCCTATGTGATATATGCATTCCGCTAAGCGCGCTCTCAAAGAAGTGCTCTTATATTTCAGAGCTCAAAGGAACAATATTTCAGTACCGCACTTAGGGTCTTTTATCTTTCGACTTGTTTCAAATTATATCTAATCTAATCTAAAATGTGATTGTAATATATTATTTAAGCTGGAGAGATAGCTGATATTTAATATCGGAAATTTACTATCGCAGCCGCTCGGAGGTGTAGTTTGTCTGCGCATCGAAAATATAGTTTATCTTCAATCACTCATCACTATGTACATACAAAGGTTCATTATTTGGCCTTAAAATTATTGACAATATTACATCCGTCTGCTTCAGATTTTGAAAGAAACCGATGCGTCGAAGATTTTCTAACATCAGCTAGTTGTGTTTGATAAAATGATACGATAGAAATCGTTTCGAAAAGATTTACATTTGTCGATCGTTTGTCTACGTGTGTTGCAAAGTGTCGCGCATATGTAACGTATCATTTTTGTTAATGATACGCAATAGAAAACACATCGGTATGTCGCGAAATAGCGGCATGACGCTATATAATATATATTACATTGCTACGTGGAAATTCTAACAACTATGAAAACTCAAAAAATTAAATTACCGATATTAAAAGGTAATATTAAATGTACATACAGGTTTATTAATATATACGTATGAATCTCGAGAAAATTTATTTCCCTGTAATCGAGGAATCCAATGTCGCTATTATGGGCTAGCGAGTCGACAATTTATCTCATTATCCGACGAATTTGCAATTCTTTTCTTCTTTCCTTCTTGACGACAGAGATCAAGGATTAGAAGGATGCTTAATATCGAAAATTAAAGAAAAATTTTCATAATTTTATCGTTATAAGCACAAACTTATAGAGCTCTTTAGATGGTTTAACATTAATTTATTTAAAAAGAAATATTCTCACGCATACACGCGCGCGCGCGCATTGCATTTTAGAGATTTTTCCACACGGCACACGAGGTGAACTTGTGTAATTCGGCGAAAATACTATGTCTTGTTGCAGGTCAGGAGTACAATTTCAACAAGTTGACAGAGGAAGAGGTTAATTCACTCGGCTTGCCCTATGATTATGACTCTATTATGCACTATGCAAAGAATACCTTTTCGAAAGGCACTTATCTGGACACGATCTTACCTATGGAAACCCATGGAAAAAAGAGACCCGAGATTGGACAAAGAATTAGATTGAGCGAGGGCGACATCGCACAAACGAATCTTTTGTATAAGTGTCACAGTAAGAATTTAACGCAATAAGAATCTTGTGCATTCTTGTTGGGATTTTCAAATTAGTAATTATGAAAAATTAAATATATATTGCATTAAAATGAAGGAAGCTTGACGTTGAAACATTTAACATTCGTCAGTTTCTACGATCAAATTTTTCGGTCGATGACACAGTACTAAATATACATATATATTTTATACATTGATGAGAAAATAAGAATTAAAAGTGTGAACACGCTAAAATTGAAATATTTTAAATCCTTTGCGCTTCGTTTTGTCCGAAATATATGCCAGATATGTCGTTTGACTTCTTTTAGCCTAACCCAATTAAATGGATAGACTTGAACGACTGGTGAATTTTTACAGAATGCGGTAGAACCTTTCAGGAGAACAGTGGTAACTTCGGATCACCGAATCACCCGAATAGTTCTCCGTCTGTCGATGGAGAACGATGCGAATGGAGGATTACGGCGACGCATGGCGAACGTATCGTATTAAATATCACGTCTCTCGACATATTCAAAAGTGATTATTGCCGGAGCGATTACCTTGAGATTCGAGACGGGTACTGGTACAAGAGTCGAGTATTAGGTGAGAAATTTTTTCTTCCTTCCTCCTTAGGTATAATCATTTATTTATATCAAAGAAGCCCGCGCGCGCGAAGTGCTTGGGTCATCCAACATTCTCGATAGTGCGAAAGAGGGGCGAAAGATTAGCGAAATTATATGAGAAAGGAGCGATTAGGAAGCGTTTAGGAAAAGCTGTACGTGTGGATCGTACGTAACTTTAATAAAAGACCTCGCACACTTCTTATGAAGAAACCAGCTTCTGTCAAATTAGCTAAATTTTTGATATGCATGGTTGCTTGTGAAAACTATATTAGTCTCTATCTCTTTTAGAGACTAGGTTCTTTTAGGTTTTGCTTTGCAGGGCGTACCACGTAATTGTAAAAGTTGAGCTTTTCTGAGGTCATGCTTATTGCGAGACTTTTGATCAGCATCATAAAAGCAATCACATATAAAAAATTTAGTCAATTTGACAGAAGCCGGTTTCTTCGTAAGAAGTGTGCGGGATCCTTTGCACGCGTTGTTTTCGTTATGTCCATTTCTATCAATGCAGGTTAATTTTTATCTCCGTTTAACTTACCTGTCATTTTTTTCTAGTTCTAAAAGTTAGAAAAAAAAAGAAGAAATCAAGTTAAACCTTGATTGAAGTTAATCTACATTGACAGAAATGGACATTAGCCCAGATGAGGGAACCATCAGGCTTGCCAGGAGAAGCCTATGTATAATAACGCTCTTCTACAATTCTATATAATTCGCTCAAACTCTTGGCGTTCATTTTTGAATTCAGGTCGATATTGCGGCAGTGGCAGGATGCACGAGCCAATAGTGTCGAGTGGAAGTCGCATGCTGGTAACGTATGTGACTTCCAGCAGGCAGAGTGGCCATCGTGGTTTCACTGCGAGTTACGAGGCCGTTTGCGGCGGCGATGTCGAATTAGATGGCGTAGGACATCTGGAGTCGCCAAATTATCCAGAGGAATATCAATCCAGCAAAGAGTGCGTGTGGAAGTTGTCCGTACCTCAAGATTATCAAGTGGCCTTGAAATTCCAGTCTTTCGAGATCGAGAACCACGACAGTTGCGTGTACGACTACGTTGAAGTGCGTGACGGACATAACAACGATTCCCCCTTAATCGGCGTTTATTGCGGATACAAGATACCGCCAGATATTAAGTCGACGGGGAATAAGCTGCTCGTTAAGTTCATCAGCGACGGCTCCGTTCAAAAAGCTGGTTTCTCGGCAACTTTTATGAAAGGTAATAGAACGTAATATACATATAGCGAAAGCGGTAGTACAAGAGCACACAGGCCACATTGCGAATTTCGCGTATTCTCGATCGATTGTCGCGCGCGTACTTACACGTAGATGACTAATTACTGCAGTGTTACTTTAATGTTTAAGAATTCGACGAGTGCGTGTTAACGGATCACGGTTGCGAGCACGATTGTATCAATACGCTCGGTGGATACGAGTGTTCTTGTAAAATTGGTTACGAATTACACTCTGACGGCAAACATTGCGAAGGTAAAGAACGACGCGGTTTCTTCCCGCGGCGGAAGGTGGAAAATCTGTTTAAGCCAGCCAATATATAATAAAACGTAATTCATTTCCATAGACGCTTGCGGTGGGTTTTTCGACGATAGCAATGGCACTATCACGAGTCCATCGTTTCCCGAAACTTATCCAGGAAACAAAAATTGCGTCTGGGAAATTATCGCTCCGCCTCAATATCGCATTACTCTAAATTTCACGCATTTCGATCTCGAAGGCAACAACGTATACCAGGAAGAATGCGAGTACGACTCTGTGGAAGTGGCCAGCAAGCTTGGCGACGACGTTCTCAGAAAGCATGGGACATTTTGTGGCGCACGATTACCGCCACTTATCACATCCGAAGGCAATTTTATGAGGATTACCTTTACATCTGACAACAGGTTTTACCACCACGTCGTCTATCTTCTTACACGTAGTGTTTTTCTCCCTCTTTTTTTCTCTCTCGTACAGAAAAAGTAGGTAGTGACGTAGCAGCGTCACGCCGTCATACCTTTCGTCATTCGTTTTTCGATCAATGCATTCGATCCAATTTTATCAGTATTTTACTCGAGCAATCGGATGGAAGAGCGAGAAAAGGCGTTTCGCTCAAAGAAGATGATACGCACGCGCGTGCTCTCGCTCTTTCTCCCTCCTCTTTCTGCTTTCCCCGCCTAAATGTTTAAATGATTGAAAATCGAATCGAGATTTGTCGACGCATCGTATATTTACGTATATAATGTGCTATGTTTGGAATTGGGAATGTCTTTGATGACAAAAGGTATGTACGAAGACGGCGGTTATAGGAACCGCAAATTTTGTAATGCAAAAGTACCAAAGCATCAGAGGCGTTTCACGTTCTCCTCTTTTTTTTTACGTTAAACGGAAACATTTTCTCTAAGCACTTTTACATTAAAATTACCTTATATCGGCGTACGTAAAACATTAGTCGAGATTTATCGCACTGTATCGCACAGAAACAATCAATATTCTTGTCATTATTTGTATCGCGCGTTTTATTGAACAGCGTCCAAAAATCAGGCTTTGCTGCCGTATTTTTCACGGATATGGACGAGTGTGCCAATAATAACGGTGGGTGTCAGCACGAGTGCAAGAATACGATAGGTTCTTATCAATGCTCTTGCCACAATGGATTCACACTTGACGAAAACGGTCACGATTGCAAAGAGGGTGGCTGCAAATATGAAATTACCGCACCCATGGGAACAATCACCTCACCGAATTACCCGGATTACTATCCTGGCCGTAAGGATTGCGTTTGGCATTTTACTACGAAGCCAGGCCATCGGATAAAATTGGTTCGTACATATAATTATTTCTTATTTCGCAAAGTTTGTGTATAACGTTATTGTGTACGGGTACGCGCGCGCGCGCGCTACAAGATAGTATATATTGTCTCAAAAAAATATGAAATAAAAAAGATAAAAGAAAAGAGTATTTGGAGAAGAGAAAACGTACGAAGAGAGACGCGTGATAGCACGACGATGTCGCAGGTCTTAAAAGTTTTCGAGATGGAGCCGCAACAAGAATGCGCGTACGATCATATTGCTATATTTATTATTTCGCAAAGTTTGTGTATAACGTTCGCTCGCGCGCTACAAGATAGTATATATTGTCTCAAAGAAATATGAAATAAAAAAGATAAAAAAGAAAAGATTTATTCGGAGAAGAGAAAACGTACGCGAAGAGCTAGAGATATTAATACACGACGATGTCGCAGGTTTTTAAAGTTTTCGAGATGGAGCCGCATCAAGAATGCGCGTACGATCATATTGCTATTTACGACGGAGATTCACCGGACAGCATTACTTTAGGTAGATTTTGCGGTAACAAGGAACCACATCCGATTCTCGCTACGGGCAATCAAATGTATATGGTTTTCAAGAGCGATGCATCCGTGCAGAGAAAAGGGTTCTTGGCCACCCATAGCACAGGTAGTTTTTTTTTTTATAACAGTGTCGGCAATGGATTTTGGCGCGAGGATCCGCGATTTATCAAATGTCCAAGTATCATATAATATTAAAGCGTGAATGAAGAATTTTTTTTTTAAATATATGTATAATTTAGAGGTCTTTATACTTAGCACATAACGTATAGTTACGCGCAACTCTTTACTTTAATTTGCGTTACAGCCTGCGGTGGTCATCTCATGGCAACGGATAGAGTGAGACATTTATATTCTCACGCCAAGTACGGTTATTACCATTACGATCACAGAACTGACTGTGACTGGGTGATAGAAGCACCGCTTGGCAAAAATGTTCACTTATCTTTTCTTTCGTTTCAACTGGAATACGAAACCGAATGTGGATATGACTTTGTTGAGGTTTTTTCCGGTCTAGATGCGTCTAGTCCACCGTATGGTAGATTTTGCGGTAATTCCGTAAGTGTGTCTTCAAATTTTGTCGAACGCTTCCAAAAATATAACAATGGAATAATGGAAACATACAAAGATATATAATAAAAACACGTTGCATCAAGAATCGTGATCGTTACGTTTTACAGAATACCACTGATTTTATTTCCATGAGCGAGGCGCTACTAGTAAGGTTCAGAACGGATGATACAATCTCAAACAAAGGCTTCGTAGCCATTTTCGTGGCAATCGATCGGCAGGACAGCGAGGAAAATCTCGGGGGTGAAGACAACGAAGATCAGGAAAACATTTGATCCTTGGCTTGGCCATATACTTGAATCGATTGGAGTGATAAAATTTCAAGTCGACTACTTTTCCGCGGGAAGTACTACGTAAGAGTGTTAGTGTGTGACAATACATTACGTATATTCTTCTATGTATGTTAAATGAAATTTTCATCCTTGTTAGGAAACACGTTGATCCTTAATTTATATGCGCACACGTACTCACACGTACGCACGCGCGCGCGCACGCACACACAATATTTGCTCTTACTATATACGTGTATATGTACACGCGCGCGCGCGCGCTTGTGTGTGTGTGAGTGTGCGTGTGTGTATGTGTGCGCGCGCGCGTGCATTATATCGAGGATAGAATATCCGCCCGATCGAAGCGCGTAAATCTATCTAATAACAATTCAATGCGATAATCATCGATGCGAACGCGAAGCAATATTTCTATCGCGTTAGATGCAGTTAAAAGTTATTTCATCGAGCCGACGCTTATGTCACATTTTACAAAACTTACGAATCTTAGATCGAACATGTTGAATAGCACCGTAGTGTTCTTTTTTTTAAGCCATATTAAAACAATAGACAATATCGAGATTGTTCGTCGCGAAAATTCCAAGATGGATATATCTTGATAAATCGCAATGTATAGTTCTTCAAATTGTTTGTGTCTTAGAACACAACCAAAATTGTAAATTTAAAACGTACAGCGTTTCAAGAAATAATATAATTATTATTACTTTGAAGATCGCTCCGCACTTGGGCGAGATTCTCTCAATATATTAGCGATAAATTAATAATGTATCATTATTTAAGTTCAGTTATGGAGATAAAGAAAAAATTACTTTTTGCTATATGTAGTTTTTTCACAATTAATGTGGTACGGCGTTAAATATATACAATCGATATCCGATCATGGAAGCCACGTGTGTCTACTCGCCTTTCTACTCGTTTTAATTATACAACAGCGATAATTAATAATACTTGACAAAATTTCCATCGATAGATACATTATAAAAAAATAAACGTGGCCAATGACACAGGTCGTTTACGTGCCATAATATAGTTGGAATACATTTCATTAATTAAGAGTACGTTTTAAATTAATAAGTGTTTTTTTGGAGGAAAGTAAAATAATACCGCATTATTTAACGATTTTACAACATACTTATATATATATATATATATATATATATATATATATATATA